ACCACGCAGTGAACAGAAGGATATGACGTTATGTCGTCTGCTGCACTTGAACTTGGCCATTAACTTGGCCCCATGCGTCTGCCCGACGTCTGTCTCTTTATAAAGCTGTATATGTACATATAAGTCTGCCTGTGGAGTGAAAGCGTCATAGCCACTTGTATCATACTTGGCTAAAGGCGTTTTATGCGAAATTTGCACTTTTATTGGGGTCTTGGTGCCTGCTCCTTTCAACGCTCGACTTAAAGTGATAAGCGTATTGCAATTTAAGTTTAAGTCTGCCCTTTATTTCGCTTATCGGTGCACTTTAAATGCTGTGCGGGAGTGACACTGACAGCACTCCAGACGGCGACCCGATGGTCATTGAACATTTACGATAGTAAATCACTCAAGTCCGTTTTTGAATAACCCAAGCTGGTTGATGTGTAGCCCACAAGAAAATGATGAGAATCGAATTTTTTCGCAGGTATTAGCGGGTGTATATACCCCCTAAAGAAAATTGTATTGACAGTTACTACCTAAACCACCGCCAGAAAGTATAAAAACATTCTATTAGAGGTTAAAATATCGATGTTAACGTGTTTAAGTAAAATAAAATGTATTTTAAATCGAAATCTTTGAAAATGTGTTTCTTGCGGTTTGTGGATCAGATCAAAAAAATTTGCGTTACGCAAGAATCTCTGGAATATGCATGCTTAATACCAACTTCCTAGATTCCGATACTTCGGCGGTCATTCGGATGGCAGGATCGACTCTGCTAGTGATACTGGTTAAGAATAAATATACTTCATATGTTAAGAACAATATACTTTAACGGATTAAATATACACTTTTACTCTACAAGTAACGGCAATAAAAAGAAAGGCAGGATCAAATGTATAGGCGGAGGAAAAATTAAAAAACCTATTCAATTTTTATGTGTTCCCGCACTGCCAGAGCAAAGATTTTTGGAAAACCAAGTCAGATAAATGTATACACGTAATATTAAGATATTTAGCAACAGTTCTTGGTACTTTGTGTTTTATTTTTTTGCGCCTTGTAGGGTATCGTGACAAACATCTTTTAGGGTATGAAGATTTAACATTTTTTTTTGTATTTGTTGGCATTATATAGTTATTTGTTTCTTTTCTACAGCCGATACCTAAAAGAACAATTACTTTTTGTGAACTTGAAGTCAAACAACTAAATTTGTTCAACTAAAACTAAGAACTAAAATAGACATTTTTTGTCTACTGTACAGTTAAGTTTGTATTCCATTATTCTACATTTTCAATAGAACAAGCATTATAACATTAAAAGCTACTTTAAGTATAAGGACATATTTGGGATTATTTTTAAATTGGAAATAAATTGACTTGAAATTTTAGGAATGGATTGTGCCACCAAGTGGTGTCTTTACTACCCAGAGAAAATAAAACCAAAACTGGTCATCAAATTAACAACTTTAAATATTGTTTGTGCCTTACCGAAGTAGACACTTCCGGGTCACACCGCGGGACAAGGGGGTAATGAGCACTTGTCGCTGGCACGGGGACGCTTTGCTGGCAGGACGATCGCGTCGCGGCAATGGTAACGAAGGTTACTGCGATGCCGGATCACAGGCGATGCGGAACTGCGCTGAGGTTGAGCTTGTGGAGATAGTGTATTACGAGCCCTATTCCCAGAGGTAGGAAGTAGAACCGCGGAGTTATGAGATGTGTTGATAACTGATTTATTCTTCATTTGGTACATGTTTATATACCACTTGGAACAGAGAAGTTTAGTGTAATGATTAGTGAAGTAAGCTATATCCTAAAGTAGGTCAGGGAATTATGATTATCGTAGCAGTTTGCGTAGTTGGCTTTGCGTAGTTGGCTGACACTGTAAAATGTGCTGACTGCATTGGCGGGTCAGTGTGCCGTTGGGTCGGTGAGTTAGTGAGACTTATAATATGCTGATCAGCAATTCTCATATGCAGTGGGTGCTACTGAGCGCCTGGTACTTGTCCCAACTTGGCTACTGCTTGATTTGTTGGGTGTGGTCACGTTGAGCACCTTTGTATACGAACAAATATAATATCGCATTAAAAAGATATTAGAAAGAAAGAACAAAAATGTTTTGGGACGCACCACTTGTTTCCCTGAGCCAAGTTCATATGATTTTTTTTTTTGCCAAAATGCTTTTGTAAGTTCAAATAATTTTTCAAAAATCATTTTTGTTCTATACACCATTTTTAGGCAGCGAATTACCTAAAATCTATGCAATAAATTTCCCACATTTTAGGCAAACAGTAACTAGTGGAATATAAAAAAAACTATCACAGAGGAACTTGGCAAGGGGACAAATGGGTAATATTGCGAAAGAGCGAAGCCAATTGGTGAAATGGGGTATAACGCAATGGAATAACAAATGTAAGGGGGCACAAGGCGAAGGAACAATAGGGGAAACATTTTTTTTTAGTTTAATTGTTTTCAAATCTGCGGAATTAAAAGAAAAAGTTAAATTTTTTGGAATTGTTTCCATTGTGTGAATGGTGTTAAAATTTTCCTACCACTTTTAAAAACACGGTCAAAGTCGCGGCGGGAAAGCTGGTCTTATCATTTTCCTTGATTTTTAATGTTGATTACCGCGTCATCACACTTTTAAATAATTATATATTTAGTATATAATTAATTATTTTGAGGTTTGAAACTTTTGCAAATCATTGTTCTTGGCATTAATCATACAGCCCACATCCTTGAAGATTTTGTTTCAGTGTAAATTGAAATTGATTTTGTTGATTAATACTTGTCTAAATGCTGAGAGTCGTACCAACTGCTTGTTATTTTTTTCAGTTATGTGTAGGTAAAACAGGCTTTGGAATGGTCAGTAGTATCGCTACCGACCGCTAGGTGCCGTGGCGCTGGTATCGGTGGTGTGCGTCGCGCTAAAATGCTAAAGGGAAGAGATTTGGTAAAATTTTTTTGAATTTGAAATTTAAAAAAAGAGTACCGGGTATCTGCTAGTCGAGGTACTTTACTTTAGCTTTTCTTGTATCTTGCCTTTTCTTCGAGTATGAAAAGGTGCACTTTACATATCCACAAACACCACGGACTAGCTGAAGGCCTGTGCTGTTATTGTGCCTAGTTAAATGGCTTACAATTTTACAGGCAAACTGTGCGAACTTTAAATAAAGAAATAAATAATAATAATAATATTGTTTTAAATTGGTATCAAAATTAAATTTTAGCGCCCACGTCTTAAAATTTCTGAAAAGATGGCATCAACTTTCCATACAAACGCAGAGGTCTGGTAACCTTGTGCAAAATCAGCTGTGTTTTGTTTACATTACGCTCTGCGGAGTGTCGTAATTCGCAAAGATCCGCGAAGGCTTCGTTTAGCATCCTATGATTCCGAAAATGTCGAGGCACGCCCTAATAGGTACGTTCAAGGGTGGAAACCACGGCCTCTGGCCAGCCGAACTAACCAGAATTCTCGCTCAGGCGGCGGCACCGGCTTCATCGGCCGCAATCTGGCCAAACATTTGACCAAAAAGGGTTACGATGTGACGGTCATCTCCCGGATGCCCGGTTCGAAACGCATCACCTGGCACGAGCTGGAGAAGAATGGGATTCCCGGGTCCGTGAACGCCGTGGTTAATGCCACGGGTCAGAACGTCCTGGATCCGACGAGGCGCTGGACCCCAGGATTCCAGCAAAATGTGTGGAACTCCCGCATCAACTCCTCCAAAACCTTGGCTCAGGCTATTAAAGCGGCTCCCCAGGTCACCTCCTTTGTGAATCTCTGCGGTGTTAGTCACTACGCGCCATCGGAGTCCAAGGTATACTCCGAGGACGACAAGGTGCAGGGATTCGACTACATGTCCCGACTGTGCCTGGCCTGGGAGGAGGCTGTCCACACTGGCGGCGAGCAGGATTGCAAGTCCGTAAGTAACCCCTAGACAATCGCTAGAAACACCCATTTGTACAACCACCCGATTCCTTTCAGACCATCCTCAGATGTGGTGCTGTTGTGGGACATGGCGGTGGAATGATTCAGTCCATGTGGCTGCCCTTCAAGCTGGGAGTAGGAGGTCCCTTGGGCAGTGGCAAGCAGACAATGCCCTGGATACATCTTCACGACCTGTGCAGTCTGATTCAGTACATCATAGAGAAGCCACTGCCGGGAGTGGTCAATGCGGTGGCTCCTGAAATAGCTACCAATTTGGAGTTCAGCAAAGTAGGAAAGCCCGCCATATCAAAATAACAGATTATAATAACTTCCTCTTTTGCCAGGCCTTTGCCAAAGCCCTCCATCGTCCTTGCCTCTTCAGCGTTCCCGAATTTGTGGTCCACGCAGTCTTTGGAAAGGAGCGGGCTGCCCTGGTTTTGAGTGGAGCCAAAGTGCAGCCCCAAAAAGCTCTCTCCTCTGGCTTTAAGTTTCAATATCCCACCGTCAAAGAGGCCGTGACGCAACTGACCCTCAAACGATAAGCTGAGTCGACATTGAATTCTGGCTAAACCTCTCTTTTGGTTAAAAGTTGCCTGTACATTAAATAGATGGTAGAACCAAGCGCAAATTAAAACGAATTTCTGCGAACCGGGGGGATAACGAATCACACCCCGAAAATAGACCCATTTAATTTGTTTACCCATAAGTCATGTTCACCAGTATTTCACAATTTTTTAGTGTCACATTAAATGTAATTATTGGCTTAATTCGATTTATAAAAACGTGTCCAAATTATTTCATTTATTCTGTCTGAAGGGAATATTGTGTGGAAACAAGCTGTAATATTGTATTGTATTGTATTGTTAAATAACACCGAGTATATTGGAGATAACATCCAAAGAATTACAAGCGAGTGCGAAAGCTAGATGAAAAGATAAGTCCGATTCAGCAGGCCCTTTGCTGGGATGCTGGCCAATTGGAATAATTGCAACCAAACTAAAATGAGTGGGCAAAAAAAAGATAATTGACTTGCACACGACGTCAATACGTTATATATATACCCACATAATTATAATCATATATCAATGACTGAATTTTTTGACCGTTCGGTGTGTTCTATAAATTGAGGGCCCAGGTCGGTGGGAGAATCAGTTCTACATTGAGCCGCCAACCGAAAATGCTTTCGAAATCGCAACTATTACTGCTCGTTGTAGGGTTCTGCCTGGTATGATCACTTGATATCACGCGATTTTAGCACGGTTATGACCAATCTATTAACAGAATGCAGCCGTTTCTGCTGACGTGGACTGCAGCAAGCGACCATCGTTTGTGAATCCCAAAACCTGCTGTCCCATGCCGGATTTCGTAACCTCCGAGTTGAAGGAGAAGTGCATCCAGTTTAACGTTACCGCGCCGCCACCAACGGATGGGGAGGCCAGTGGGTCCTTCGAGAGCAAGCGTCGCCACCATCATCCTCACCCACCACCGGTGAGTTCCCCAGCAAAAGTGCTTTGAACCACAATAGCTTGGACTATCCCCTTTCAGTGCTTCTTCTCCTGCATCTTTAACGAGACTGGCATCTACCAGAACCGGAATCTGGATCAGGACAAGCTGGAGAGCTATCTGCAGGTGGTGTTCAAGGACAGCTCCGATCTGCAGACCGCGGCCACACAGGCCTTCACCACCTGTGCCACCAAGGTGGTAGAGTTCGAGGCCAACTTGCCTGCTCGTCCCGCACCTTCTCCGCCACCCGGAATGCCCTTCTGCCCTCATGACGCCGGCCATCTCATGGGCTGTGTGTTCCGTAATCTTATGAAGAACTGCCCGGACTCGATTCGAAATGATTCCCAAGAGTGCAGCGACATGAAGGAGTTCTTCACCAAGTGCAAGCCCCCACGTGGTCCTCCTCCGTCCACCGAAGATGTGTAACGCACCCAAGGAACCCTCTTTGTCTGAAAGCCCGCAATAGATATACCTCCGCAAGCAGAACATTAAATATTTTTCAATTTACCCCAATAAACATTTAAAGCTCAATATGGCTTCACTTTCTGTTCACTGATAGCAGCGTCCTTTGTGCCACTTATCACCAAGATGCACGTCTGGGCGCGCAATGAGTTAGAAAATTAGGTTTCCTCCACGAAATTGATTATCGCGCGCATGTGCGTGGACGGAAAACCGTTGGGTTTTCTGGCTAAAGCGATTCACTTAGGTTCAGACTGGGAAAGCGTTAGGAACATGGAGGAGGAGCTGAAAGTATTCTTCGAGGACTGTCGAAGGCAGGAGTTTTCTGCGAAGGATATGCTGACTATATGTCAACCCTTGATTTGGAGAATTCGCCTGGCTAGGATTATAAAATGGTGCTTTTTTCTATTGCCCTTGGTGGTTGTTTATCTGCTTTGGTTATATAGCGACTCCTTCGCTTGGTCGGTGAGTGCTGTCGGTCGTTTGCTGCTCATTCAGATCCTTCCCCTCTGGGATTGGACACCCTACTACAATGCCAAGTGCCTGATTTCAAGAGGTGAGAGTGTCCAGGAGCCCCCACCTCCACTGGGTAAACTTGAGACTCAGTGGCAGAACTGTGCACTATGTGAAGCTTTGGGTAAGTTGAGTTTAACAGTGACTACCCATATATAATTATCTTATTTCCACACAGAGGGCATAACAACTGCTTCAAATGTCAGTTACTCCACCGTGGAATCGGAGTACCTAGATCGGGGATTACCAGTCATTATAACAGATAGTGGATTGAAAATGGATGTCCCCAGTCTTCTAGAGCTCATAGAGGAGAAGTCTCCTCAGTGGATGTCCAGTGATCCCTGCGAGGTTTCCAGTAATCTCATGCTGAGAAAGCTATTTAATCTAGAGGCGGCTATTGGCAAGATTCGCTCGTGGCAAGGACAGACATCAAACACTTGGCACCTTCAGCTAAGAAACTGCCAGAAGAAGGCGGTAAAGTCCTCTCGACTGTTCCTGGAACGCACCTACTACTATCCTTACCACCTGGCTCCGTATTACTCAAGCTGGCTACTGGCAGTCCATCAGCAAAAGCGAAAGCAGGCCGAGATTTACGTTCGCGGGTTGGTTTTCATGCAGCAACTAAGTGGGCACTTCGAAGTGGTCCTGCAACCCAAGAATCCCTGCGATAAGGGAGTGTGTCCAACCCTTCGAATGCGCCTGAATGCAGGGGAGGGTCTGATCTTCACCACGGATATTTGGAGCCTGAGTTATGGTCTGGAGAAACCTCACACCAAGCAAACCTCGCTGGCCAGCATATTCGAAGTTGATTGGCAGTCGTAAACGTTTTTGATTAGTTGGCCGAAATTGTATTTACACACACAACTAGATACAGACAAATAGAAGCCTAAAGTTACCGAGAGTTACTGGGAGGGATCGGGATTAGGAACAGATTTATCCTAGGCCCTGCGGCACTTGGCCTCCACGAGTTTCTGCAGCGTGGCCGTCAGACTGTTGATGGCATCGATCTTCATCCGCTCGATGCGCTCCTGCTGAACCAGCGACATTTTCTGGATCTGCACCTGCTCGCGCTGCAAGCTCCTCTGCAGCTCCATCTTCTCCCGCTCCACCTCCAGTTTTCTTTCGAAGTAGTCCTTCCACCAGATGTCGTCGGGAACGCTAGGAGCTGGACCCATGGTCCGTGCCAGATCATAGAGCTTGCCATTGGCCTCCAGATGCTGGCTACTATCGCTGGTGCGTTCGGCCTCCGGAACATGATCGCCATCGTACTCCATCTTGGGCTGGCGCACCATCTCCGACATGCTGTTGCTATCTTCATCGAACTCGTCGTTGGACTTGCTGTCCATATTCATCTGGGCCTGCAGCAGGACCTGGTCCACAGGTGTGATATACGGTTGACCCTCCTTGGCTCCAGCCTGGGGTTGAATTTGCAGCTGCATTTGCGGGGTTCCGGGTTTTAGGGGTACCGGAGTGGGTTGCAGCTGTAAAGTTTGCTGGGGGAGTCCTTGGGTCGGGTTTTGTCCGTTTGCAGGAGGTGGAGCCTGTGGCACATTTGACGACTGCTGTGGCAGCTGCATGTCAAAGTCGGCCTTCTTCCCCTGCAAGTACTTGAACATCTCCTCGAAGAACTCCCAGTGGACATAGCCGGATACGTATTTCTTGCTCAGATTCTTGTTGTATGTGATGAGGATGTTGTGCCACTTTTTCTGTACCTTGGCGGCGGAGTAGCGAAAGCCCAAACGTTGGAGTTGCCGAGTGCAGTGCAGCCAAAGGGCTGTGCGTTTTTGTCTGAAACGGAACGGTCTATTATAGCAATCTGGTGTGTTCTGGGAGCATACAACCCTCACCTTCCCTCTGTGAAGCTTCCTTCCATGGGTCCTCGTATGTGGATCAGAGCCCTTGTGGCCTCAGTCGTCCAGGCCCGCTCGTAAGGACCACGGCCCATGCTATTGGCTCCTCCCGAGGTCTCCGCCTCCTCGAGCAGGCAATCATCATCCAGGTCGTCCAAGTCATCGTCACTTATTTGATAGGCTAAAGAGATTATATTAGATAAAAGGATATGTATGTTATGGACTCGAATGGATATCTTCAGCTAATTAACCAGAAAATTTAATGAATTTTAGCAACTATAAAACCTATATGAAATAACGATCGAACCTTTAAACCGAACCAATAGTGATTCTATAGTTTATCTAGTATAGACTAGGTACCTAAACTTGTTGCTTTTGGCAGCGGTGGAAACCCTGGCGCTCTCGCAGCATCCTGTTCAATTTCTTAGTTCTCTCGCTATTCCTGCTCTTTCTCGCTCTCCCTCTCTCTCTTCAAAGCTACCACCCAACGCCAGGCCAAACAGCATCCTAGCTATGTCAAAGACGCTAGCTGCCGCTGACATACACCGTTATGATACATACATACATACCTGTGTCCTGATACATGACACTCTATGTATGTACGTACACATGTCGTTCGTCTAGGCTTGTGAACACCAACACTTGTGTACTTTTCTGGCAAGCACTCAAATTTCTGTTTTGATTTTATTTACCAAGTGGCAGACTTACGTTCATTTTCCTCGACATTATTCCCGTTGCTCGGCGTTTGGCCACTGCCTCCATTAAGCTGAACTTGCGCCATTCGGGCTGTCAGACGCTGTGTTTATTCTGATTTTTCAGCCAGTCTATAAGTGATTTTAGACCTTTCGCCTGTCAATAGTTTTCCCGTACTAACAGGACAATTTTCGGGCTGCAGCTTCCAGGCGTCGAGAACTTCGTGTGCGCCTACTCTCTCCGCGCTCTCTCCGCTCCGCTCTCGCTCGCTCTTAGATCTGGAAAGGATGGGGAAGCTGCGGCTAGCCAAGGAGTAGTGGTATTAGTTTCCAAGGAGTGGGCCTCTAGAACGAGGTGTTTGGGGGGCTGGGTGGCTCGGTGGGTGGTGGGTGGCGGAGTGCAGCATCTGCGCACTTTGCACTCTGACTTCGCAGGTCTGTTAGCCGCAGCCACAGCCTCACTGGAACGAATGGACAATTGGAAGGTCTAACCTAAATAGTTCTAGTCGGGCTGCACTGGAAGTTCAAGAACAGTTAGGGATTAATTAGGTCCCACTGGAATGTAGAAATGTCAGGTTATAATAAAATGGCCTGTCAATAGGAATTTCACTTCTCTACTGTCGATAAATCTGAAGCGAGTTACAGAAAGGCATAAATATAATCAAAATAGGATTTATGATTATTATTAGGGATAAGATAAGACAATTATAAAAAAATGTTACTCTTTAACTATTATTTGTAATTATTCCTAACAATTATTATTGCAGATCAAAGGGAGAGAAAATTCAGGGATCTGTAAACTTAATTATTCCGATTTTTACATATTTTTGTGGAAAATTATACACTGTCCGCAAGAAGTGTACAACATGGCTGAATGAAAGTTGTCCACAACTTACCAAAAATTAGTGAAAACACCAAAAAATAATTTTATTTAGAAGTCAGATATAATATATATAATATATAATATATATTGAAAGCTTAACAGATAATTTCAGCCACTAAATTGTTCATACATCTGTGACAAGTTGTCAATTTTTTCGAATGCAATCTTATATTTTATGTATCTTATTTTTATGCTTTACACTTATAAGCAGTTTATTCTGCGAGTTCCCACTGTAGATAACGTTTCTAACGGACATTTCAAAAAATGTAGTTATCGTTCTATCGAAATATTGCTAGAGTTACCACCTAGTTATTCCGGCTTTTTTTGGAGTTGCCACCTATCTAACGCCGCGAATTTGCGCGTGGAGCACTGTTTGTTATTAAATTGTTATTAAATTGTACATTTTAGTTGTTAAGAGAGAGCGAAAACAATGCCTGCGGTGGAGAAGAGCGTGATGTAAGTACTTGGAGTTCGGAAGTAACGGATGTCTGAATGTAATCCCCTGTAATCCGATCTGCAGCACCGACTGGAAGCGCCTGTGGCAGATGGTCTCTGGAATCCACTATGAGACGCCCCAGGAAACGGTACGCGAGGAGCTGATGAACGTGGCCACCGAACTGCAGGCCGGGGTGCTCCAATTCAAGCCCAAGAGCGCCTCCAACGTCCAGCTGGGCTCGCTGCTCAAGGAGAAGAAGCAGGACAAGCTGCTGCCCTTCACCGAGCGACTGCAGGATCTGCTGGATCTGGAATCCGTCCAGTGCTGGGAGATTCTGTGCTACTACCTCACCCAGGAGTACCGCGGCTCGGCCAGCCTGCTCACCCAACTAATCTCCACCGAGACTAACATGGCCAAGCTGCACGAGGACATTCGTCACTACTACTCCCTGGAACGCATGATCGTCCTCAAGATCGTTAAGAACCTGATCGTGTTTCACCGTGTACCGAACCATCCCTACAACAAGGAGTATCGCGCCGTGGTAGAGAAGATTACCCTCTCCCGCCTAAGAGATTCATACTTAGACCAACTAGAGGGCCTGATTGGCGAACTGCCTCCCAGAAAGCTGATGGCGGGCGAGTGCTTCCACTCCACGGAGCGTTTAATTGCCTGGTCGGAGAGGAACGCCCGCGAAATCA